GTGTTTTTCTGGGTGTGGGTGGGGGTGTGGGTGGGGGTGTGGGTGTGGGTGTGGGTGTGGGTGAGGGTGTGGGTGTGGGTGTGGGTGTGGGTGTGGGTGTGGGTGTGGGTATGTTGATGAAGGAAACAGAGAAACCCACAAATTCACACTCATAAACCGAGACACCCACACCGACACACCCATACCGACACATCCACACCAACACACTCACACTGGCACACCCACGTCGACGCACCCACACCGACACACCCACACCGACACATCCACACCAACACACTCACACTGGCACACCCACGTCGACGCACCCACACCGACACACCCACACCGACACACTCACATCGACACACCCACATCGACACACCCACACCCCACCCACACCCTAGGTGTGGGTGTTGGCGTAGTCGTGAGTGTGATTGTACGGATGTGGGTGTCACTATTCTCTTCACACACATACATGCGTACAGGCACAGTCACGCACCCATATCCACACCCACACTCCACCAGAGACGTATAAATCTGTCAACAACATGACGACTTTATATAGTGAGCAATTAAGCATTTAGTTTTTCGTTAACTTTGTTCGTACTTGATTCATTTTAGTGGTGTATTGCTTAATCGACGGGTGTGAAACTGGTAAACAGCTTTGTGCCATATATAATGCATCTTTGTAATGTTTAAGAGCCGCTCGATAATTACCTAAACGAAAATAAACATCACCTAAATGTTCTTTCGTTGTGGCTGTTGAAGAATGATTATGTGGCAATGATTCAATTTGAATAGATAGAGCACGCTGATGAAAATCAATAGCTGTTTTATAGTAGCCTTTTTTGTAATATACAACACCCAAGTTGTCATAGGATGTGCCTAATTCCGGATGAGTCTTCGATAAAACACGTTTTCGTATTGTTAATGCGCGTCGATGGTATTTAATCGCCTCTTTTAATCTCTCTTTAGCTGTAAATACCATTCCCAAATTGTTGTAAGTAGTGGCTAGCGAACAATGATTTCGTTCCAATAGACTCTCTTCAATCTTCTGAGTCTTCTCAAAATATTTCAAGGCTTTTTCATATTCTTTCTTTTGTAAATGAATCATACCAATGTTGTTGTTCGTTGAGGCAATATCCGGATGATTTTCTGTACCAATGCTGATCAGTAAATGTTCAAGTGCTTTACCATAGTGACGTAGTGCTTCATCAAAATCGCCTCGGCAATCGAAAACGACTGCCATATTATTGTATGAGGTTGCGAAGGAAATATGATCAAGTGCATACGAATGTAGAAGAACTTCTAACGCCTGGCGATGATAGGCAAGTGCAGCATCATAATCGCCAATTTTTTCGCATACAACAGCCAAGTTATTGAAAGTTGCTTTTGTGGAAGGATGTAGTGGAGGTAACGCACTTCTTTCAATTGCTAAGACACGGTCATAGTTCTCACGAGCTTTCGCATAGTTACCAAGTTCTGAGTATGCTTCACCAATATTTGAATAGGTGATAGCTAACTTTGGATGATTGTGAGGGAGTTTCAGTAGTTGCAATTTAAGAGCTCTTTCCTCTAGCCAATATAGGGCTTTCTTGAAATCACCGAGATCGGTATACGCTGCGCCTAAATTATTAAATCCAACAGCGAGATCTTCGTCGTCTTCATTCAATAAAGTTGCATCAATCAATATAGCTTGTTCATAATGGTGTACCGCTCCTTTATAATCTCCAAGTTCGCTGAGAACCAGACCAATATGAGAGTGAAGATGACTGAGTGCTGATGATGATTTTGCTCCACCATTACCTTTGTCCAAATCTACTTGCATAGCTAAAGCTTCTTCACAAATACTTTTAGCCTTATGAAAATTGCCTAAATCATATTCAATCAACGCCAAATGAGAGTAGACATCAATTAACGGCTGGCCTTCAGGTGTATCACGCAACATTAAGTGACAAAACTGTCGCGATCGTTCAAACTCACCCATTTGCTCGAGGAAGTTGCATAGTATAAGAACTGTTGGCTCCTTTTCGCCAAAACTATTCTCTATTAAATAATCATATAATTTTGTGTCGATTTCTACTGAGGGGTCATTTATGTCAAGTAATGTTAGACTAACACACCATAAATCTTTGGTGTATTCGTACACATCATCTATACGAAAGGTGCTACCCACATCAAAAAGTACTTCACCTTCATCAGCATTACAACTAACATCATGTATATCAGCGAAAGGCCATTTCCACGGGCCGTGACCACTAATACTAATTTCGTACAGAACTTTTTCGAAAAAAGGTCGATCAAAAACATCTGTGATAAAGTTCACTGCCACATTACTCCGATTAGTTGTAGAAAGAAATGTATTGACAGAAAAAATACCACCTACGTTTGCTTTTAATTTGGTTAGTTCCTCTGAAGACATTAGTTGACCACGAAAAACAGTTAATTCTACTGATGATTTCGTCGAATACTGTTGTTGATGAATTTCGACTAAACGCTGATGAAGGTCTACGATAAAATAACGAAATTTGAAAATAATATCTATATCTCGAGTGCGAAAAGCTCGGTTAACTAATCGATAGAGAAAGCAATCGCGTGTGTACCATTCGATGACATTTTCATGCGTATACTCGATCTTAAACTGTTCAATTTTTCTTTTTTCTATAGCATTATTACGATATCGTTCCATGCATTCATCAATAAGATCCCGATTAGCTTGAGAAGTCTGCGGTAATCTTAATAATGTCTCAACAAGCAGTTGAAACCACATATATGTAGCGTGTTCTTTATTAATATTTTGCAAAGTTGCCTCTTTCACATTCTGCATAGTAAAAATATTTACGGGAGTAAAATGGTGAAGTAAAAGTTGAATATCACGCTGTAAACGATCTAGCATTATTTTACTTGCACTGAAAATACCACGAATTTTACTATATTTCTTACCCCATTCCTGATGTTTGTGTGTGTCGACACAGAAGATGTATATACATACAATTTGTGTTAGCTCGTGAATAGATGGTAACATTTTTTCACCAATTGAACCAGAGACAATGAGAAAAACTTTATCAGCATTATCGAGAGAAGCAATGTATTGTTGACATTCTGCAAGTTCCTTATATGTTTTCAAATGTTTGATGAAGTGTTCAAGATCAACTTTGCGACGAACATAATCAGATTGTTTGATATCTTCTATGTGATTATCAAGCCATACTATTTGAAAATCGTTTGTTGTGAGTGTATTTTCGTGTGAAGTTGCCATTGAAGAAATGAATGGTTACCTTAAAAATACAACTTGGAATTTTCCAATATTAAATGGCGAAGTTTTCAATCATGAAGCCATGATTCATGCACTATTATACACCTGTTCTGTACTTTCGTCATAAAAAAACAGGTTTCACTTTTTTCTTTTTCTTGTTTTTTTTCTTATTTAGTTTATCATTATCTAACAATAGGCTTAAGAGGCGTGAAAGAAAGTATAGATGTGGGTAAGTTCAGAGTGCTTCAGTTTATTTTCTCTTGTCTGACCGCTACATATACGCCTATACCCCTGCAATATAATCGAGAAAAAATTTAAGAAAACATCGTCGTTCAATTCTCTACAACACCGAACCAATAATTCCATCTTAATGATATCGATTAGCGTTTCAGACGATATGAAGCTCACTAGTCTTTTTGGAAAACGCCAAATTTTTAAACATAATCTTTAATCAATATTTTTACTAGTGTCTCTCTCAATAGAACTGTGTTTGGATTCCTAGCTACACATATCCAGATCTAAGTGAGTACTCAGAATAGTCGAACACTGAATTTTTTTAGCCTCAGTGTTTACGACAGGTTCTGCAGAAAAAGCTGTTTCCTCATCGGATTTGTCTGAAATCATCATTGAAACTTTGATTCAAATTTTCTACGGTTGCCATCGTGGAATAATTGAAAAATCTAATATAAAATTCTGATCGGCTGATTGTTCATAGTATATATGATATTTTGTTTCACCTCTAACGCATTTTGTTTATTGAAAGAACTAGAAATTTGCAGGAAAATGTGAATTCTGGTGTGTTCAATTTTTTTATTTAGTCTTAAATTTCACTACAGCCCTTATCCCCAACTTTTTCACTCTTTCAATGTCGTTAATAGTTGATCAACAAGAAGGCAACCATTTAAGATTTGTGACCATAAAAACTTAGATTATATGCTCGTGGAAGAAAAAATGTGCTGTTTCATAAAGTTATCTCCATATGATTCATAAAACAACAGAAGTAGCATTTTTTTTGCTTTTCTTCGCTTGTCTGTTTATCTTTACCTTATGTCATCATACAAATATGCATGATAGAGTGATGAATCATTTTGCAGACTAGTATGAAAAAGCAGGGAAATAAGAAACAAAAATTTTTTTTTATAACGCTCACGATGCATATAAGAGCATTCATCTAATTAGGGACGTGAGTGTAGGTATTGGTGTAGTTGTAGGTATGTGTGTGGGCGTGCGCGGGTGTGGGTGTAGGTATTGGCGTAATTGTGGGTGTGGGTGTGGGTGTGTGGGTGTGGGGTGTGGTTGTGGATGTTGCTGTGGGTGTGTGGTGGGGGTGTGGGTGTGGGTGTGGATGCGAATAAAGAATGAACCAATATCCACACCCACACCCGCCTCACCCCACCCACACCCACACCCACACCCACCACACCCACACCCACCCACACCCACACCCCACACCCACACCCACACACCCACACTCCACACCCACACCCACCCACACACCCACACTCACACCCACCCAACAAAAAGTTTAATATAATTTCATTTTTTTTATCTAGAAAAAAAAAACAAATGAAAGATAATTTCATTTTTTAATTACTGAATTAAAATAAATAAAAAAAAGCAGCGATTTATATTCTTTGTAAAAATTATAATTAAATTTCAAATGATAACCGCGAAGAAAAATAGTAAACTCTAATAGTTTTCAATATAACTTACAAAAGAATTTAATGATATTGAATACTTGATCCAGAAATAGCGAAAAGTATTGAAAAAAAATTCATGGGCTATCAGCGATACATATCCGTACGTCGCTCCATCTTTTATTTCATTCATCCAATTGAGCGCAAGAAATAAACCAATGAAGTATTTTTCCTTTTGTGTCGTTAAAAATATCGATGAATAATACGAGGACGAGGATAGCGATAAATGGATACACCAATAAATTTTTTTCTCTTCGTCTACATATACCCATCCTTCATGAAAAAGAGAGCACAATATAAGTAGAAAGATGTCGTCATCTCACTGTAATCGCGAATAGTGAAAATTCAAAGCAATGCACACAATAAGAAAGAAAAGTAAATTAACATGTGAAACATAAGTAAGGATGAATTAAAAAATATTCAATACTTTTATTTCAAGAAGAATACACTTTGTTGATGGTTTTTTTTTGCATCCTCGTTAAAAAGTGTTAATGGAAAAGCAACATTATTTGGACGATTGCAGAATTGAGATCTTGATTTGCCCTTTCGGAGGGGATCCAAGCATCGGATGGAGCTGAAAGGTTGTCTATTCGATAGAGCTCATTGAGTTCTATCGATCTATGCCATTTTTCGCTTTTGGTCCCAGCTGAGGACGAATCCAGTTCGGATTTCATTAAGAAAACCAGGTGTTCGGGGGTATATTGGGGTTTTATGAGGGATGGAAGCATTTAAAATAGCTCAAAAGATATTCATTAGATAGATCTTGTCTAGTTCTATCGGCCTATGTCATTTTCAGGTTTTGGTCCCAGCTAAGGACGAATCCAGCTCGGGTTTACCTTAAAAAAACAGGTTTTCTGCAAAGACTGGGATTTCAAGGGGAATGAAAGCACCGAAAACACTTGTAAAGATGTCCATTGGATAGAGCTCGTCTAGTTCTATCGATCTATGCCATTTTCAGGTTTTGGTCCCAGCTAAGGACGAATCCAGCTCGGGTTTACCTTAAAAAACCAGGTTTTCTGCAAAGACTGGGATTTTAAGGGGAATGGAAGCATCAAAAACACTTGTAAAGGTGTCCATTGGATAGAGCTCGTCGAGTTCTATGGATCTATATGATTTTCAGCTTTTGGTCCCAGCTGAGGACGAATCCCGCTGCACTTTACGAAAGGAATCTGATTTTTTGCCTATTTTTAAAGAGTATTTGAAGTTTTTCTCCGGTTTGGAATGGTTTTGCAGAAAAAGTAAATAGTGGATTCGATAGAGCTTGTTGAACTCTATCTTGGCCTATAGAGTTTGGTCTTTGGTCCCAGCTGTGAGCGAATCCAGTTGCGGAATACTCGAATCCAGGCCCAAGATATCCTACGTCGGAAAACTTGTATACACTCAATCTCCTATTCACCATTAACGATACATTTAAGCTTTAACCTTTGATCCTGAGGAACAGTGCAATCTCTTAATGTTCGAACGAATTCAACTTCAACATCATTAACAATTACATCGGTGGCTGCATAAACTTTATCTGTACCAGTTACGCATGTATATTCAAACAAATCAGTTAAAAAAACATGTATTATTTATATTCGTTGTTTTATTGCATGATAATTTATATATTCCAGATAAAACACTATGTTGAACTGCTCTCTTAATATTTTTAATAAACTTGTCGCGTTTGAAAAATTTCTTTTGAAGAAATACTTTTAGAGGGTTTATGGTTCGCATGTAAATGAGTAACTAGGGTGTGGAGTGTGGATGTAAGAACATGGCAGACATACAAAAAACTCAGACTCACACCTACACTCTGGCAACAGAGATTTCTTATGCAGTGAGCTTATGCATCGATATCTGTACAGATTCATTTGTTTTTCTTAGAGGAAAGAGACGCCTTCAATCACTTCGCTAATGAAATCATGCGCAGCAACCGATTTCTCTCACGCCAAAAAGCTTTTCGTTGTGGCAAAGGTGTTGATAAAGCAGAATCGTTGATTCAAGTATTGATGAAGCCTTGCCACGAAAAAAAGTTGAAATCCCTTTCGTTTCAACAATAGCAACAGAAAAAACGCATTCGTTCTTCCTCTAACTAAAAAAGGGTGTGGGTGTGGGTGCAGCTGTAAATTGTAGAACTAGAATCACATCCACACCCACACCCGCACCCACACCCTACAGTACAAAATTAGAAATATATACATGAAAATAATATTGTTTTATAGGCAAAATGCATAAATCATATTAGTCAAATGACTGAATTTCAAATAGAAGAAATCAGAAATTCATAAATGTGCTTCTTCTATAGAAAAATAACTAAAACATTGAATAATAGACCTTTGGAAGCCATTGAAATTATATTCTCATAGAATGTCAGATGAAAAACAAAACTCTCTCAATTAAATGCAGTTAGTCAAAATATTCATATAAACATGTACATAAACACTATTGATAAATATTCTCACAAGTAGACGTTGTGTACCTGGTAATTAAACAAGAAAACTGATCATCCATTGAATTACTACAATAATTACTGCCCATTCAGTTGTTTTTAACATGCATTTCATTGGAAATAATGTTAAACAAAATTGATTGATAGTAACGTGAATAATAGCATATGCCGCTTCGTATTTTACTCATCAGCACTATGTATAAAAATAAAATACATGTCTTTTGATTGAATAAGAGTTGAAAGGCAGACATAAACATTGTGAAATAGACAAAAAAAATAGATGTTAATGAACATCACTGTCATAGCAATGTTTATTGCAAATAGATTCATACGTTTTTGAAAACAAGAAATCAATATTATTGAAACACAATAAATAATAACCTAAAAAAGAGTAATCATTTGAAGACAAATATCAAAAATAGTCAAAATAAACGAATAATCTGTTATTGTTAATAAATACGATAAAGTTTCAACATAGAATACGTAAAGAAAGAAAACCTTCAAATAATTTTACAGATCAACTGAGAAAGCTGATGAAATAATAGAGCAACAAAAAAAAGATACGTCTATTTTCTTTTTTCGTAAACTATCGCAGAATTGAACAAGATAATGAAAGTCGTCGATTCTCTCATAGCTGCACAATTATTTCATATTCATAATAATATTCATGTAAAAAAACTAAGTGTGTCTGATAATGTAGATTGTGTTGCAGATGACGCATTATCTTGGTATCGAGAACTGTTAGAATTATTTGTGTCAATAACTGTGCCATAATGATTCATTGCCTTTCTACGTCTGGTTAATAACTTTCTTTTTCTTCTTTCTCACTATGAATAGTAGAGTATCCTCTCATTTTGTGTATCTAATCAATGAAT